ACAATAATATGCACAGTTAGACCTTTATGATGTAATTATGACAATTGCTATATCTTTGTGGCTAAGTATTGCTTTTTGTTAGACTTTCTTAGGACTGTTTGATGAGAATGAGAATGATGCCAATGGTATAGTCAACATTCTGAAATATCTTCATAAGTATGTTCCAAACCAAGGTACTTATGCATATTAACACATTCTTGATTACTTGATGAACTTGTTTTTTTCTAATAACCTTCCAAATACAGTTAAATCCCCCATATCAATTATTAATTAGAATTAATCTGGGACTGCTTAGTCTAGCCTTGTACTTAATCTCTTGAACTCAAATTCATTGGCCATGCATGTGCACCAACTGACAACTATATGTATTGCCATAGTCAATTGGTGAAGAATCATTATAGCACTTATTTGCTGATTWAACTCGCATTTACAATTCTGCTCAAAACCTACTTACATTTAGTACTTGCTAAATAAATGAAATATAGAGTGACATGCATGCACCGTCTCTGCCCAATCGATATAAAAAAGTATACAGTTACTTAGAGATTTCTCAAGTAATAGATTAAGAMATCCAAACTCAGGTATAATCTGATGATATACATGTATTTAGAAGAAAATCAAGAAGTTAAAAACTCCTCAACTCTTCCACCAATGTTGATATCAGTGGTCACCAGATTACATGGCTTTATGTATTACTTGAGAATATCTATAGCTATATCTAGAAAATAATTAAATGTCACTTAAATGTGTCCTAAGGTGATGCAGAAGAGAGAGTGTATGCTTCTCAAGGAGTGGTTGGTGACCAGCTAAGTATAGAGCGAGCAGTGAACGGTAAAGTCTCACTAGCCAATGGCTTTACTCCTGAAGAGAGACTTGATGGGTTACATTTTGAGGTGGCAGATTGGCATGCTGGAAACAAATTCTTAGAGGTAAGTTCACAATAAAGAATGAGGAATATTTTGGGTGTTGTAAGTCATGTGAATTTATGACAGGACATTAAAATAGATTTTACCTCAAAATTCTTACAAACATATATTATACTCACTGTGCATTATTTATAACTACCAAATTATTTGTAATATAAATACAAGCGATGGGAGTACT